AATAGCAAAAGGAGTCACAAAAAACTGCTGAGTAAACAAACTTTATCCACTTCAAAATAAGAGCATAAACTTCTAACTACTTCAGATGTCAAACTTTATTCAACTGAAAATTTACAAAACAGCCAAGAAAATTAGCGCTATTCAGAAGCTAATGCTAAAGCTAAGTGTGCTAAAGATGTTCAAAGTTAGCTGTGCTATTAGCGCATTAGCAGAAGTGTGCCCATCACTGGACTTGACTAAAGTATTTACTGCGTTATGATTGAATCCTTGGTTGGCATTTATTATTGGAATCTCCAGAATCCTAGATTTCTAAATAAGATTGCTGCAACAAAAAGAACACAGGATGTTGCTACGTCCCGCCTGCGGGACACAGCAGCGCTAATGAGTTAATCACTAACTGAACAGGTACAGATGTGGGACATAAACCAGGGAACAGCAGCTTCTGTCCAAACAAAGTTTGACCAACCTTTGAAAAGCCAACTGCTCTGTTGATGTTTGGCCCTGATGTAACATCGTCTGCTGCTCAGCGTCGTCAGAGGGAAGCTGTATCTGTTCGGAGGATCCTCCAGTCCTGAAGCCTCTGAATGCCTCCCAGGCGTCTTCAGCTTCGACGTCGGTGAGGCCAACGCCCCATCGCCTCCTTCCCTCCAGGTTTGGTCTTCAGCTTCACGTCTCTCAGCGATCTGATGACGTTCCATGTTCTCTGCAGTGTCTTTGGCCTGGGAATGCCTGTCAGCCGGCGGCGTGGCTCCCAGGGTTCTCCATTACGGCTCTGCTGCTGCTGGAGACAACATCTACGTGTACGGAGGGCAGCTGGAGGGCGAGCCAACCGACGACCTCCTGGTCTTCAACACAGGTTAAAAACCTCATCCTGAATCGTTTCCGTCCAGAGGAAATGAAACATGTAGGACTGAAGTCTGGATCCTGACTTTGTTTCAGTGTCCGTCACCTGGACTCCGGTTAAAACCAGCGGATCGCTTCCTCCTGCCCTGTGAGACTCAATCAGACCAAATGACATTGATAATCTCTGAGTTTCATCCTGGATATTCACATCGTCTGTTTCTGCCTCTCCAGATGGGGGCAGCGTTTCGCTCAGGCTGGAGATCAGCTCTTCATGTTTGGAGGTCACGGAGCAGGAGGAACGTTTTGTCAGGACCTTTACGCTCTGAACACAGGTACACTTTGGTCAGGCTGGGATCCACTTTAAAACAACACATCATGATGCAATACATGCTTATTTAAACGTCTTAAACTGAATAAATAAATATGAATATGTTGACTCTGATTTCATTATGATAATCTTAAAATCAGCGGTACAATACCTGAACGTATCAAAACCTTTTAAGATTCAAAGAATCACCATGTAAAGACCAGTTTTTATGGATTTTAACCAACTTTCTCAGTTTTTGAGTCTGAATTCAGACCAAGAAACCAAAAGGAAACCGTTGTTCTCCAAGCTCTGGTCAGTTAGAGTCTCTCTGTGTTTTCAGAGAAGCTGCAGTGGCAGAAATGGGAGGTGAAGGGAGAATCTCCT